GGAAAGAAAAAGAAATGACTCTTTTGATAATACTTGCCTGAAGAGTTGGTAGGGAAGCACAGAAGAAGATTGAAAGAGACTATGTAAAATAGGGTACATGTATCAAAACAATCATCTCTTTCCACAAACAGGAGGATAAGCTTACATATATCGTTGTTACTGATATCAAAGGTATTAATAGTATAAACAGAACAGGAGAATTACTCTGCCTCAGCTGTGGAGCTTTTTTTCATTTTTCTCTGGTTGGACTATTCTGTGTTACTATTTCCTTTGTCGCTGCTTTGCTAGGTTGGTGTTTGGTTACTAACAATTAGTGAGGCTAGACCTATAACAAATTACATGGAAGTGCTTCCTCATTCTTTTGTGGTGGACAAACAATGGAGTAGGATCATGTATACTGCCTAGTGCTTTCCTTGTGCAGTAGCTTCCTACTGTCATGAAACAGTATATTTAGGGTATAATGTATGAGTATAGTTCATTATTTAAAAAAAAAAAAGTATTGATTATGTGCTAAGAGCATTTCACTTACAAAAGTTTCTTACTGCGTGAAATACTTTATTATAGTATATCTCCATGTCTGTAGGTAATAGTCCCAACTGATATCAAAATTGAGTTAATCAACCGGCTTTCCAGAACAGGCCTGCCTGCAATAGAGGTGACCAGTTTTGTTTCATCCAAATGGGTGCCTCAGGTATGTAAAATCATCACCATTCAGAACTCTTTCAATTTAAATGCCATTCCATGCAGTGGAGTTTTCCAGTAGTATAGCCTGTATAATTATACAAGAAAATGGCACAGAAATAATACATTTTTAATTTGTAAAACTGGATGCTGTTGTCAGACACCATTTACGCAGTTTTCAAGTTTTATGCTTTTATTCAGGTCAGCTGAAGTTGGGCTAATTATTAAAAAGCAGTCAAAATTGAAGAAAAGCCAGCAAGCTGTGCAGAAAGTTGGTTACATCCCTAACTCTGCAGAGTTAGGGAGCAGGTTGCTCCAGAAGGGAAGGGGAACTGGAAGCCAAGCACCAGTAACAAGGGGAGCAGAGATTGTAGCCTTGTTGACCAAAGGGCATTCCAAGAGTCCGTGAGAGCAGAGCAAGTCTGGTGAGGGTAACCAGGGCAGCCAAGAGTACACATACTCAGGTGAGTCCCCAGTGATGCAGCAGGTCCAGGGTCAAGCCGGGAAGTCAACTCTGTGAAACAGTCAGGATCCAATCAGTAAGGTACATGGCCAAGCACGGGCTTGGCTGCTGCTGTGCAGCTGCACTGTTTCTCAGGCAGAGAGGAGGCATAAGAATGTCTCGGCTTAAAAGTTTCTTCTGAGTGAAAAGGGAGGGTAGGCCACATTAAGACTTCCTAACAGAACTGTTTGGGGGAGCCTCTGCTGATCCACTTTCCAGCTGTTATTGATGAGCTCCAAGGCTGATTGAGGCTTCTCAAGTTGCTGTCTTCTTGTCAATGAGCTGGCCTTGAGTGCAGGCAGCTAAACTCTAAGCAGCTAAACTCTAAACTCTGGGCCCTGATCAGCAGAAATGCCAGGAGTACAGTTTGCCATGGTTACTACGTAGGGTGTGAGAAATCTTAAATATTGTCATCACTCTCCAAACATACATGATTTAGCAGGTGATTCCCTATTTCCCCCTTGGAGCATGAGGGTAGGAACTTGTGTGAGTATGTATGTGCAAGGGACAGCAGTAAATGGGGAGTGAGAGAATTGGGTCACAGGATGCTGAGTGGGCGTAAGGTATGTGGGGACGATGTATCAACCCTCTGAGTAAAGGGCAGCTAGGATATAGGATGCTGAGTGTAGACACAGTGATAAAGATGAGAGAATATGAAGCTGTCAGGGTGCAGAGTACTGAGTTCGAGTATCCAGATGAACAGCAATGGGGCTCATCTCTGGGGAACAGTCGTGGTGGAGGGGACTTCCTGTGGAAGCAACATCAGTTCAGAGACCTAGAATCAGAGAAAGAAACCAAGGTGCACAGGGCTTGTACAAACTGGGGAAACTTCTCTACAGAGCTCCCTAGCCCCAAACCAGGGGAGTAGACTCCCCAGGCCTAGGGGTTGTGTGGATTGTCATGGAAACTTGACTCTTCCCTGAAGCCAAACACCATTTTTTATCTGCTGCACTTGGTATATTTCCGTGTATTTTCCAAACGCTAACATTATAAGCATACACACACATACAAACACACATGCACTTATGTGTTAAGGATTCTAGTTAAGGAGATATGTTGCAGATTCTATCCTGATTTTGAATTTCCTCACCAAGGGGCAGTGACTTTATGCAGTTAATAATACAGACAAAATTCTTTATAACATTAACGTTTTACTATGGAATGGTAACAAAGAAGGTACTTGTGCATTTTATTTTGCTCTTACTAAGTTGTAACTAAAGAATTGGGATGGTGACACATTATTAATATAATCTAATGTTGTTCCTACGTCTTTTCTACTCTTCTGAGAACTAATAGTCATTGATGTGAAAAAGAAAGGTAGCATACTTTTTTTTTCTTTTTCCCTAAATGAACTTTCATTTTCTACATTTGGAAGTGCGTTTGGAAGATCTAAATTCAGGACTTTTGTGTATGTAGTAGTAGTTATGCACATTACTTATTTTGCAGATCTAGCACTCCATCAGCAGCCATACTGAGTTTTGATGAATTGTAATAATTTGCTTATTATTTTCCCAAAATTAATTTTTACATTTGGTATAATTCAGCAGAAATCCCAGCCTTTCTGAACTCAGCAGTAAAACTACATTGGCATTAGGAGTGCCAGGTTTTCATTTGAGATTTAACACTGCAAATTCAGGCTTAGTCCTGTGTTGTGCAAACTTAATCATTCCCTGCAAGTAAGGAAATAAATCAATACTTGTCTATATCATTTCAACTAATTTTCAAGAAATCATGCACTTGTTTGCACTGAAGCATTTTAGTACTTAGATGTTTAGTAAGGACCACGCAAGTTATTTATAAAGTAAAACATGAAATTAATTCATTGGAGAAAATACTTCAATTTTTAACATTGTTTGTTGCACATCTTCTGTCAAAATGTATATAAAGTTTGTCCTTTTTAAACCGGGAATGCATCCTGGGCCTGGACTGTATTCCAGGCTTTCCTCTGAGAAAAACATGGTATGATCACACCTTTTCTTATTCATGAGTTAGCAGAGCAAACTGGCTGTATAGCACTCTCTAACAGACTCTGATTTATTTCACTGTTCCCAGGATCACCAGGGAAGGGCCTAAAGGAAGGATAATAGGAAAAGGGAAAGGAACAGGGACAACACAGAATTTCTTTGGTGTCAATGCAGGGGCAATGAGTTTTCAGATTGTGTCTGTTAAAAGCGACTAGGCTAAGTTGTTCCAAGTGCCATCAAACTTTGGCAGTTACAGCAACAGAGAATAATGTAGGAGTTTTTAAATGTTAGCAGGAAAAGTCTAAAGCAACGGTGTATTTCTTCCTTTCTTGTTTAATTATTTCCTTTCCCCGTGAGCCATTAGGAGTACCAAATTTAGCACAGGTTTGTCAGTTTAGAAAAAATGAACAATCCCCTCTTATCTTCATGTCTGAATATTTTCATAGCTTAATTTGTATTTAAAATGTTTTTTATTTAAAAGATAAGATTGTGTTGCTTTGATAAGGAGTGCAGCCTTGACTGTCTTTTCTTTGCTCCTTTCTTTTTTCTTTTCATAGGTCATGGGAATAGAATTCACGGTTACGTTTAGATCACTCATTCACTTATTTCTTTTTTTAGCATTTTAAAGCTCTTTTATGGTTTCCCATCCACTGTTTTTTTTGGCAGAGATTTTTTTACTGAAAAAGGCTAAAAGAAAAAGTTCCACAGTAGCGAGGTGCCATATAAAACAGGATCCCACACCTATAACCTAAACGGCCAAAAATTATAAATACCTACCATTAGAAAGCTTATTTTTAAAGAAATTTGGAAAAGAAATATTTTATTACAATTTAAAATCTTATAACATGCTATATGTGTTAAAATGGTATTTTACTTACAGGAAAAATAGTAAGGGGCAAATGTAATACATATAATATTATTTGGACCTGGCAGCTTTATATTGGTTGAAAAAGTGTCATTTCGGTTTTCTAGTATATTTTAAGTCAGGCTATAATTTTAAAGTGTGGAATTAGTTCCAGCATTTGCCATTTAATTAATCATTTGGTTTCAAACATTCTTCCTTGCCCTGAGAAATGTAGATGCTATTTATATTAAATTAAGGAATGAAAAATTGTTCTTAAAAACTAAGGCATTACCAAATGGTTTTTTGTGAGGTTATCAGATATGTTAGGTGGTCACACTGATTTAGTTCACGTAGAGGCAATTACAAAAGTTGCTTTGTGCCATCACTTGTTTCCTGATGAGAAATTAGTTGTATCTGGCTATAAGACACTTTTCATACCATATATCCACTTCCTTATAGATACGTGTTGGGCTTACATTTGAGGAGGCATACATGCCTTTTTCTGATGTTTTTAATCCTTTCATTTTCGTAGTAGGAAACTAGTGACAGGAAGATATCGGGTTGCCAGTAGTATTGTCGCTTAATAATCTTGTATAATTTAATATCAGATATTTAGAATTGTGGTACAGCAAAGCTATCAATACAGTATCCACTGAAAATGAAGAGTAACAAAAGCTTTGTAGTTCATATATCTTTTCATATGGTACTCCTCAAATGACTTTTCATCAGTGTGGAAAGAATCAGAAATCCAATTCAATATTGTTTGTTTGGAAGATTTGCTTTTAAGAGATCTGATTTAAAAAGCATTTAAAATACACTATTCATTTTTTAAAACTCAAAATCTAAGACATTAAGTATGAGGGATATGTTTTATTAACTGTATTGTTTTCAGGCATGCACACCATTAAAAAATAAACTAATTTTTCCTCCACTTCTTTCAAGAAAATATGCTTGTCTAAATAATCTACAGTTTATTACATGAATAAGTCTTTGATTCATCTTCTTGATTAGTACATGGAGTATATTTAATCTTGAATGAGAAAGTGTAACGATATCTTAAAAAAGCAGTTTCTTTTGTGATAGGAGACTAAGGAAAACAAATGCTTGAATGAAGTAATGGTCTTTGACCTTTGCTATAATAAAGAAGTATTTTCTTCTTTTGAAAGAAAATTCTAAATATATTAAAATGTTACACTATGCAGAGAACTGGATTTTGCTATATTTTTAAGGATAGACTTGTGATTAGTCTTTTCAAATATGCTGATTACAGTGTTGAGTAATTCAGGTTCACTTACGCTTAAGATTGTGAAGTTGCAGTTATCAGAGTGCTGAAGTTTTCAAGATTTGGATGGTTTTAAAATGTCAGTTACTCTGTTAATTCCACCTATTGAGTCCATTGAGGTACATTTAAAGTTGCAATAACCGTTGATGATCAGCATGATCACAAGTCTATCAATTTATGATGCAAATTATGTTTTTACAGATACACACAAAAAGAAACACCATAGAAATCTTAGCCTCAATTCTATATTCATATAGAACTGGAAAGCTTGCAATTCAAAAATTCAAAAGTTAAGAAATCCAAAAAAGAGTCCTTGTACAATATCAGTTTAACCCCTTTGTTACACTTTTTGTATGAACTGTATACCTCATGAAGGCAAAACCACAGTCTAAGCCAATTTCTGCTTGGCTATATAAGATCAGAAAATAGCTGATGGTCAATACAAATTTTTTATATATTTTAGATGGCAGATCACAAAGAAGTAATGAGAGGCATTGAGCGGCATCCTGGAGTCCAATATCCTGTTCTCACGCCTAATCTTCAAGGTTTTCATTCTGCTGTAAGTGCCTTCATAGAAGATGTCCACAATTACTTCTTTCATGTTTCAGATACTTTCAGTTCAGTACCATAAACTAGCTGTTTAATGTCATATAGCCTGTCCCGTTAGAACTAAGCTTTAGTTTTTTTAACTAAAAATTCTCAGGTTTCATTGTGAACAATGGGCAAATTCATAGAGTGATGTTAAGCTTTATATATTCATATTTTAATGGAAGTATTGATCAAACAGTCTCTGCAAGTTCCTATAAATGATGCTTGTGCATAAAGACAAAGACAGTTCCTTCTCCTTCTTTGACTTGTTGGCCCTAGAAAAGTTTCTGAAGAATGTCTTCTTATTGGAAAGTAGTGAAGAAGAATAAGGAAAGAGTCAATTAAATTAAAATGCTTTATAGGAATGTATTAGATTTCTTAAATTCTGGATTTCATTTTGGTAGGGTGTGAAAATTTAAATTGTTTCAGTTTATACAAAATAAATATTCAAAATTATAGACTCAAAGTGTTTGGAACTGCGAAAACGGAGCAGTTCAGTCTTCTTAAAAGATACACATTGATAGTCAAATCTTTACACTTTTTTGTTTTCTGAAATTTTTTCATGCTTCTATGCTTTTGTCTGGATATAGGACAAGCCGTATTTGGAAAGCATACTGCTTGATGGACTTTTGTGGTGTAGTCTGCCATTCCATTTCTATACTGCATATGAAATCCCTGAAAACACAATCCTGTACATAGGCGAGTTAACTATCAATAGGCATATTTATAGTGCCACAACTTTGTCTGCAATAGTAGCTTGTACGAGTTGAATTAAATCTGCTATATCTCTATACTGTGATATAATGAAAGGAAAAAAATTCAAAAATAGTTGTAGGTTATTGCTGAGTTCTTTCTTGCTGCTATTTTTTTTCTTCCCTCTGTTTGAAATGATACTTGTTCCCGTAAGGGTTGCTGAAGCTTAGACATTATCCTGCAGAAGCAGAGAGAAAAGGGAAAAACTTCATTCTTTTTCATAGAACAAGAGTATTATTCTCACTGGAGAGTGAGAATTAGTTAATTATTCTCCTAAGCTTAAATGTTTTCTTCTCCTATCATTTGGCTTTCAGCATTCTAGTTTGCCTCATGTTAGTTGATTTACTGAGTGAGTACTGAGGTACTGAGTACAAGCTCAGGCTAATTGCTGCTTCAGTGAAGTCACCACATTTACACATTTTCTAGACTGGTATTTGCTCTGAGACTTTTCTCAGCAGACTCTCACATACATGCTTTCCATATTATCCATATCGAATATGACACCAAGACCGATGGAGTCCTTGATCCTAGAGTTGGCTCTAACAAGGAAATCCCTGTTGGTTATTGTTGCTGCTCCAGGCACATGCAGGCACAGAGCTTTCCTAAGCATGAGAACGACTTCCTGGCATTCATGAGGAATAGGCTTTGTACAGAGGATGGATATTTCAGAGTTGTTATATGATCTTTTCCTTTTCTGAAAAATGAATATAAGTATCAATCATTGTTATTTTCATAGTTGGTTTGTATGATTTCCTACATCTTAATACCTTTATCATTTATCACTTTAAAAATATGTTTACCTAATTGCTAAGAGGAGGAAGGAAATACGCCATAGTGAATTAACTCAAAGTTTGATTCAATCTGTTTTTATGCAATAGATTTAAAAAAAATTGGAATGAAACTTATATTTTAGATATGGATGATGTACTTGTACTTCAAAATTCTAGAATGTCATACAGAAGTAAATGCTTAATCTAATCTTTTATTATAGTGTTATGATTCTGTTTTATTGAAATGTATTTTTCAGATTGCAGCAGGAGCTACAGAAGTCTCAGTATTTGGTGCAGCATCTGAATCTTTTAGCAAAATGAATATTAATTGTTCAATTGAAGAAAGCATAGAAAAATTTGAAGAAGTTGCTAAATCTGCAAGGAATATGAATATTCCAGTGCGTGGGTAAATACAAAGATTCTTAAGTCATACAGAGTTATTGGAGTTGCTGTTACAGGGGTTTTTTTGTACCAGTAGAAAAGTATACTACCAAATTTTTACATCTTACATGAACTGAAATAATAGTCTTTATTGTGACTTTTTTTTTACAAGATTGAATATATTTAGTAATTTTGCTCTCTGTTTTGTATCTGCTAATGGTGACTAGTTTTCTCTGGAAACTGAAAAAAAATAAGCTGTGTATATAAACATACCCTTTTTATTACACAAATTTATTTTTATCATCACAGATGAGAGAATAAAATTTATTTTGTGCTGCTGAGAACTCATAAGACTGTTGGTTGCCTCTTAAAAAATACCCTGCATACTTTTATTTTGTTATAGTATTGATAATATATCACTTCATACACTGTAGAATCAAGGCATAAAAGTGATAGTACAAAATTTACTCTGAAGAAAAAAAACATACTCAATATAAGTTGGTCTGACAACTCCAGGCATTGAAGTGTTTGGAGTCTCTAGTGCATGAAACTCTGGAATTGTCCAGTATTTATCTTTCTCTAGAGTACCTTCTTTTAAACTTGAAATAATCCTGAATGGTACTCGCCCTTGAACAGTCTTTCTTTTTGATTTCCATTTTCTCTTGCTTTACACAGAGCTACTTACCTAAGATTATTTGTGAAAGTCCTTGTGAATGCGAAAAGGCTCATAGGTTCAAGGAGAAACTCAACAGTGAGATTCATTGAGGATTACTAGTAATACAAACTACATCATGCTCAGAAAATACCTGGACTTGAAAATAGATAGAGGTAAATACCTCAGAGACTAAGTGCTTGAAAACCTGTCTGGGAATAAATACCGGGGTCTCTCTTTCCTCCAGAAGTAGTGATGGGGTAATGCTACTGCTCACTTTTTCATAGAATCATAGAATCGTTTAGGTTGGAAAAGACCTCCAAGATCATCCAGTCCAACCATTAACCTACACTACCAAGTCCACATTAAACCAATCAAGGGTAGACTGGACTAAACCATGTCCCAAAGTGCCACATCTACCCGTTTTTTGAACACTTCCAGGGATGGGGACTCCACCACCTCTCTGGGCAGCCTGTTCCAATTCTTGACCACCCTTTCCATAAAGAAATTTTTCCTAATTTCCAACCTAAACCTCCCCTGGCGCAGCTTGAGCCCATTTCCTCTCGTCCTATCGCTAACTACATGGGAGAAGAGACCAACACCCACCTCAGTACAACCTCCTTTCAGGTAGCTGTAGAGAGCGATAAGGTCTCCCCTCAGCCTCCTCTTCTCTAGGCTAAACAACCCCAGTTCCCTCAGCCGCTCCTCATAAGACCTGTTCTCTAGACCCTTCACAATAGTGTGGTAGTTTGAGCATCTGCCTTGAGAAGGGGAGATCTGACTTCTAGTTATACCTCGGCCTCAGAGGATCACAGAATAACAGAATGGTTTAGCTTGAGAGGGACCTCTGCAGGTCATCTTGTCCAGCCCAAGGATTTTAACACACACATCCAACCCAGGATAGCTCATAAATGCTTGGGTCCTTATTCCCTAGCCTGATTATATGTTTCAGATGGAAAATCACTGAATAGAGAAGTAAGAGCTTTCAGTGTGTTAAGAAACAGTAACTTGTAACAGAGTTTAAATACTCTACCTAGCCGCTAATCTGTCAGGTAGAGTCAGGGTTTGCCTTCCTGAGCAACTTCTCTTGTTAAGAGGTCTGTTTGTTTAAAAGGTCTCTACTACCACTGTTTGCCCCATTTTTCTGGAACGAAATTCTGAGCTGAGAACATAACTAGCAATTTGAGCTCTCCAGGAGGATTAAGCTCAGGGATGCCTGAATTTTAGGTCCCAGATAGGTGTGGATAAGGGAATAGGCAGTCAGTTCAAAAAAGACAGCATGTGTATGGCAACAAACCTTGGGCACTGGTGAACATTTTTACACTAAACTTCTGTTTTCTGTTTTTCTCAGATGTCTAAGCATATCGGGCACTATTTTCTGTTTCATATTCGTGAATTTCACTAACAAAATTAAACGAAATGGCACAACAGAGGCAACCAACCGTCAAGGGAATCCTGAAAGCTTATGCATTGTGTATGTTTTTGGATAGCTATGGGTGTCAACAAATGGACTTTGCAGCTGGTCTAGAAGATGTAAACTGCAGGTGATGAAAAAGCCCCTGTGGTGTACTCTAGATTGATGTTGGAGCTTAAAATGTTAACTTATCTTCCATGCACTAGTTTTCACATGTTTAAGAAAGTGGCAACCTGCTGCCTTTTTTTGTCCACAGATTGTATGTCTAAGGCATTTGTAATACACCAGTAGCAGTTATTCTGGCACTGATACAGTGATGTGATGGAAATGACTGTTCCCATGATAGGATTCTACAACATTCCCATACATTTATTGTCTACTATCTGATGAATTGTGTGTGGCAGGTTTTTTTCTGCACACAGCAGAAAAAAATGAGAAAGCAGCAGGATGGGAAGGCACGTACAGAGACGAAGTAGTAAGAGGCAGAAAACGGTCAAACAGAAGCAGAGCACAAAAAAAAAAAAGAATATTAAAATAATTAAGCAAAAAAAGAAGGAAAAGAAAGCAAGGAGATACAAAGAGAGGGGTATCAAGAACCAGGTAATGAAGCAAACAGAAAAAACAGCAGTACAGAGATGAAGAGAAACGAGATAATTGAGCTCAGAGAAAATACAATCAGATTATGTTTTAAAAGTGCTTACTTTGTGCATCCAGTACAAAGATCTGTAATTTCAATTCACTAGGCAAACTTCACACAGTACATGCAGGACAATTTTATTGAGTCTGTCATGCCAGGTGCAGTATGTTACACAGCACTTTAACAGTGGACTGCTTAATATCAGACATGCCACAAAGTGAATGAAAATGATGTAAGTTCACGCCAGCTATAGCTTTCTTCCTTAGGCTTACAGGTCTAAGAAAAGTGAATCATTCAGAAGTAGGAAGCCATTGACAGGATCATTTGATTTGTGGGATTATAACTGAGTAAAGAATCCAATTAGAGAGGATAAGTGTATTGAAGAGAAATGACATTTATGTTTATGTTACAGCTATCTTCATCATGGGATATTAGCTTGGGGACTAATTTATCCAGTGAAAATTAGAGGTTGAGGCAGCAGGAGATAAGATGCTGGACTAACGTTACACTTCAACAAAAAATTTTAGGAGAGGACTGTCTGGTATTTGTCCAGGGGGATCTAATATAACTCAATAATAAAGTAGCTAATCTGCTAAAAATCTGCTGAGAATCTAAATTGCAGAATGTGGAGCCTTATTTCATAACAGCAAAAACCTAACTGAGGTAATAATTCTGAGTATCTAAAACGTCCATTGAACATGGATTTCAGTATATGAAAATATTGAAAAGAAAGTTTTGAGCATGCTAATAAGTTAGAAGATAAAAGAGAACTGGTTAACACAATCCGTTTGGACTTTGAGTGTACTTTTAAAAAATCCCTCCCAGGGAGATTTTTGAGGAGGCAAAATAGTAATTACGGAGAAATAAAATGTTGCTATGGATCAGAGTCTAGATATGTTTTCAAGAGAATAATTACCAAGTATTGTGATACACTGAGTCTTGTTCCTGCATGTTTAGCTCAGTTGGTTAGAACACGGCGCTAATAACGCCAAGTTCACAGGTTCAATCCCTGCTTACTGCAGGGGGGTTGGGCTCGATGATCTCTCAAGGTCCCTTCCAACTCAAAGCATTCTATGATTCTAAGTCTATGTTCAAACTCATTCAGATGCACTCCACATGGGTTGCAGAGTTAGAGGAATCTGTAGGAAGCATTGAGAGGGAATGATTGCTCAGAAATAATAAAAAAAAGAAAAGATTGTTTAGAGTCCATCTACCTCAGAACTTTCTTTTAAGCTCCAGTGTACTGTGTTTTGTTGAGTAGAATTCTGAAGACCAGAAAAATAATAGCAGGAGCATGAACATGGAAATGCAGAATTCAGAAGGACTTTTTTTTTTAATGGTAGGTCTTCTAGCAGTTGAACAAAGCTCTAGAAGGTGGACTTAAAACTTTTAATTAGTTAAAAAATTAAAAAAAAAAAGCACTCATAAAGAAGAAGCATCTGTTTTGAATGCCAAATCCAGGAAGTAAATAAATCTGTTTACAACATTTCAGCTGCTTGTGAGGGGGAAGATTATGGAAGCAGACCATAATTTCCAACTTAATTCTAGAAGACTAAACCATAATTTTCTCTGGTACTAACACCCAACAAAAGCCTGCAGTACTACAGGGAATTCATTAGGATTTGAGTGGAAGTAGTTCATTAGTTCCCAAATATTTTAGTACATTTAGAAGACTTGTGGAGTTTTACATTGCATTTAACGATATAAAACTCAGGCCTTCTCTTCCTTGATGAAAAAAGGTGTGGAAAAGATAATCAGAAAGTAAAACTTAAACAGAGATTTCATAGAAATATTCAGTGCAATCAAGGTGACTCTTTCCTGGAGATAAAACAATCAAAAAAGAATTAGCTATCAAAGCCTGTGATTTATGTTCTTGATTTATGACCATATTTAGCTGCTACTAAAGAAGCTGCTTTTAGTGACAGATAAAGTAAATGGCATTTTTGTATCCCAGTTCCATGCAAAATTCTCTAAATGCTGAGACAGTCAAGGCTTTGTGGAAAGTTGTTCTTTATGCCATGTTCTTTATGCTTTATATCCTGATCTGTAAGTATCACATAGACAAGTCAAGCAGGGGCAGAAACTGACAGTTTCAGAAATTGAAATGCAGGAGTTTCTGTTGAATGACCTCAAACCCAGCATTTTGGAAACAGAAGGATGGGATGTTACATAATTCATCAGTTGACATTTAGTATTTAGAACTGGTGCTCATGGTTTGACTGGTTGTTACTGAATTTCAAGGAGAAGATTAGATTCAGGTTTTGTTTTGTTGTGTGGCTTCTATTTACTGAAAATAATTATATATTGTTTACAGCTATTGTT